TGTTTTATATTTTGCTATACTTGATAACATTTTCAAATATTATAATATGTAATTATTATGTAATGATTTCAATTTAATTACCAGAATTGATTTTTTTAAATTTTGACTCTGGTTTTTATTTTTTCCGATTTCAATTTTRGTTTTGACTACCGGTATTAATTTTTTCGATGTCGTATTCAATTTTTATTTTGATATYGGTTTTAACCGGTATTCAATACTTCAAGCCCTGAAAATTTACCTATAACATGAATGTGTACGCTCTAATTAGAGGCTAATCTGAAGGACCACTCGAAACGCTCGAGAACAATTTAACCAATGAGTTTGCCACAGTAGTAACCAATCAACGCCGCAAAAGAAACGGATAGGCAAACAAACGCCTTTGTCCGATATGTGGTGTGTAGGCAAATTCGTACACACTAACGACGACTTTCGGCAACAAGACTGGGAGGAATTTGGATGTGCAAGTTAGTTATGGGGAGGGGGCTCTGTGATCGAATCGATTTGGTGCAATGATCACAGAGCTTATAAACTCAGGGACAAGACTTAAAATTAAACTTAAGCTACGGAAGTCCGGTTACGATGGTGATAAGCGATGGCAGACGTGGAATACTCTAGACGACTTGGGCGGCCTCTCACACAACGATTAGTTGCTGGCGGACTTACGCAACGGACGGCTCAATCGCTGATGCAAAAGGGGGCTGACAGCCGCGATAATGCGATACCCAATACTCGGTAGACACTGCCCAATAAGTGGAGGACGTGAGGTAACCAACAACAAGCCACTTATTACGATCTGCGTCTAGTGATTAATGGGTCTTTACAATGAAGAGACGAAACAACAAGTAATTTGTGTAGATCATGAAAAACAGTTTATTACATATATGCGCTTAATGCGACTTATCGTGACAACAATTTATACGTATGCGCTTAATGCGACTTACAATARAACATTGAACGAAGTATAATATAAAAAAGATACRAAGCCGCTGCAATAGCGGAAGAAAAAACAATTTACGTACAAAAATATTTGTTGTCGCTTTAATAGCGAACAACAACGACGGCAAAAAACGACACAACGGCAGACAGTTTGACGCCAACAATAATAGTAAAAACATATAAACAAGGGCGTTGGCCGTATAAAAGTGATTAAACAATAATGATAATAAATATGTGAYAGGAACAAAGACAATAAATAATTAGTGGACATAGAAACCACATAATAATAATAATTTCAATAATAACAATAATAATACGCATAACAAGTAATTAGATGAGACGGGGATACAAAAGAGATGATAAGGAAAACACCGTCTCCGTCGTGCACATTTGCAACACACTGCGATAATGCTTTGGCGAGAACATGAGTTTTATTAACTATAAAATCAATTTATTAATTTTACTTACTATGGTATTTCGGAAACCCTTACAGTAAATGTACCAACCGAAAATGTTTTCAAAACGTAGTTTAACAAGAAACTGGAGAAATATTGATGGAATAAGTTCATTAGACAATGTGTGTAATCGTTTACTATCGTTTATAATTTCGTCCCACGAATTATATAATGCTCGACATGCGTCTGCGCGAGCCGACCACCTAGTATTCTATAAACTCTTAATTGTATTAGCATTATGTTTCATATTTAATTGCAAAATTGACCATCTATGCGTTGATGCGGAAAAGAAGTTGTATAATTGTTGTATAAATCCAAAAAACATTGATGCTTGTGAGCAACTTTCAGCAGAAGATATGCCAACTAAATTTAACGAGTGTGCGCTACATGGTACATAATAAACAAGTGGATTAATTTCTTTTATTCGTGCCTGAACYCCAYTGTATTGGCCTGACATATTACTAGCATTATCGTAGCTTTGCCCTCGACAGTCAGAAATGTCAATATCGTGTGATTTTAAAGTATTGGTAATGGCATTAGTCAAATCTAAAGCTTTATGTCCTGGATTTGAAACAAAACATAAGAATCGTTCTACAGGAAGACCTGTTTCGAGGACATATCTCACCATAAATGATAATTTGTCGACGTGCGAAATATCTGGCGTCGAATCAATACTTATTGAAAAATATTTTGWWATTTTTAATTCTTTAACAATATTATGTTTTAATTTTTTCATCATTAATAAAATAAACTCCTCACATATCACGTGCGATAAATACGATGTAGAGCCACTACCTTTAYTTCCAAAACGAACTATATGATCGGCTAAAAACGGATCAAATTTTGCGATTAATTCGAGTGACATTAAGTAATTACCATTGTGTACAGAACCAAAACACGAATCATGTCCTCGAAAAGGGAGTCCACGAGAAGCTAACGATTTAATAGTTTCGACTACTCTCTTCAACA